CCCCAAAACCCCAAAACCCCAAAACCCCAAAACCCCTTAATTTATATCCAAAATTGATTAAAATTTCGCGGAAATGGACGCTTTTTTAAAGAGAAAGGGCAAAAAGGCACCTAAGAAGATTGAGAGTAAGTCAAAACCTGAAAACACACAGGGATCATTATCTACGTGTTTCGGAAAATCAGCGAAGGCTGATGGTTATAGTAGTAAAGACTCTAAATCTTCAAACTCTACGCTTATTAAGACTCGTTCTAAAATTCCCGCTATAGAAGATGTGGAGATGGAGGTAGAAGATGAAAGCAAAACTAGGTATCAACCATGGGTAGAGAAATAGTAAGTTTAACAAAACTTAACAAATTATAGCCGGCCAAACAAGATTGATGAAGTATCCCACCAGTCTGAAGTGGTTAGCGCACTTAGTAAAAGTGTTGAGACCGGAAAAGTAAGCAATTTTATGCTTAATCTTTGTATAGGTACCTCACTTATTACTTTATGGGCCACCAGGAACAGGCAAAACATCCACAATTTTAGCTCTTTCGAAGGAACTATTCGGGCCAAAATTTTACCGCTCAAGAATTCTTGAGTTAAATGCATCTGATGATAGAGGAATTGGTATGGTCAGGGAGAAAATTAAGAAGTTTGCTCAGAAGAAAATCGCCAAAGCTGTAGATTCTGAATATCCATGTCCTCCTGTGCAGCTTATAATTCTTGATGAGGCGGATTCAATGACCGTTGACGCCCAATCAGCTTTGAGAAGAACCATAGAGGTATATTCAGCCCAAACAAGGTTCTGCATCATCTGTAACTATGTCAGCAAAATCATTGAGCCATTAGCTTCAAGATGTGTGAAGTTCAGGTTTACTCCAATTTCAGAAGAAGCTCAGATTAAAAGACTTGAATATATATGCGACAAAGAAGAAATCAAGCATGATCCCTCCGCGCTTCCAGCCCTGGTAGAGGTTACAGATGGAGACATGAGGAAAAGTATCATGATGCTACAGTCAGCAGGGAGATCTTATGAAACCGAAAAACTCACAGCAGATGATATCTACGAAGTCTCAGGAAAAATTCCAACTCATGTGATTCAAGAAATTTGGGAGCAAATTGCTAACCTAGCAGATGGTGATACTGATATCAGTGAGTTAGCTGAGAATGTCATCCAAGAAGGATTTGATATTATGCAGTTGCTTTCCCAACTGATTGATTTGATAACACAAGAAAATATTAGGAGCGTCTCTGATTTAAAGAAAGCCAGAATTGCAGAAGTATGTGCAGAGACAGAGTTCAAGTTGATTAAAGGAGGATCAGAGGAACTAAATGTGTCTTACCTCTTTATGAGCATAGGTAACATTCTATCTTCCTAAGTCTTCTCTAGACTAGCTCAATCTTAATTCTTCTAAATGGGGTTTTGGGGTTTTGGGGTTTTGGGGTTTTGGGG